CTCAACAACGATGCATACATATATATTAAATGAGATAATGTTGATGCAGACGAATACTTTACTACTTTGAATAGGCTTAAAGTCATCTAATATTTTACAAAAAAAACAACAGATAAGTTTGGTCCATAGAAAAGTAGCGAAAACATAGACGTAGCGAAAAATGTTAGAAGTCGTTTCATTAAAAAAAAAATTTAAGGTTATTATGAAACGACTTCTAACATTTTTCATATTTGAGTTTCCTTCTAATTCACGTACAAATATTTGGGCCCGAAATTTCCATGGGTTTCCAAAGCCTTGACGACTAAAACTACTACTATAGACAAAATTTTGGAGTTCATTTCATGTCCTTTTATATTAGGGAGATTGTGTTTAGCAATTTTAAAACTTCTTATAATTTGAAAACTAATCCACATTTTTAAAATTTGGAAAACTAACTTTTTAATTAAATAAGAAAGCTATAATATTTTTTATAATTTGAGATTACAATGAAAATTCGATTTGACACGATGAAAGAACTGCCAAGAGCTATGATTTTCTTTTTAGGAACCATGGCGCATTTTTTTTGGTGAACCAGAACCATGGTGTTATTCTTATGAGAAAAAAATCTCAACCTTCAGAAACAGATCAATTGCTGACATAATTTGGAGACAAATAAAGTTTATTTCTTAGTGATTCATATAATTGTCATGTATCCTTGTCCTCATTACTTCCAATAGTCATGTGATTCATGTAACGACCGCAAACCAATTTTTAGAGAAATTTGTTCAATTGAACCGGTTTGGTTCAATTTTAATTATCCGGTTCGCGTGGTTGGTTAGAGAAAACCTTAAGAGGGAGCAGCCGTGTTTAGGCTGCATTTTTGGGCAGAAAACACTCAGAAATCAGAGTGGAGAGAGAAGATTTTCGTGGGTTGTGAGAGAGAAGAAGAGATTGTCGTTTTGGAGACAGTTCTGTCCAGTTTTGGGAGAGGAGACGAACGGCGGGAAAGATCAGACGGATTGGAGTGAAACTTCTAGGGTAAGTTCTCCACTCTCGTATCTAGTTTTGGACGAAATCGGTTTGTCATTTGGATTAGTATTCCGAGAGTTATCGTTGTTTTACTAAGAGATGTTTCTGCAGTTTTGGGTCTGCGATCAGACTATTTCGAGGGAGGATTCCCGTCGAACCAGAAGGACTTAGGAGACGATCCATCCATCTCTGGAAATCTCTCTCTTTCTAGTTTCTAGATCAGGTTTCAGATCAGGACTTAGGAGGTAATATGCGTTCTCAGTGTTCTTTTGAAGTCAACGCGTCGTTCCTGTTTCCAGTTCCGATCAACGAACTTTCGGGCTGTTTTCCCGTCGAACCATAAGGACTCAGAGAGCGATCTACATATCGTTGTGTAGCTCTCTCTGTGTAGTTTACAGAAGTGATCCGATCCTATTTCGGAGCTGTGGTTGGTGTGATATTTGATCCCGAATCAGGTGAGTGCGTGACCATGGTCTTTACGGGTATTTGGGGTGTCATAATGCGTTTGATTGCGAATTGAAATGTTTTGTTGTTCGATTATTTCTTGTTTGGGGTGTTTTTAGTGTTTAGATCGACGCAAGTGTCGCATGATCTGGTTGACTTTGCGTTGACTTTTTGGGTTGATTTTGGGTTGACTTTTGTATTGACTTTTTGCTTGATTGATCGTTTGGTGTTATGGTATCCCTTAC